AATATCAAAAAACGCACTTCCCGTCCAAATATCAAATAACACTTCCCGTCCAAAATCAAAAAACCCACTTACCGTCCAAATATCAAATAACACTTCCCGTCCAAATATCAAATAACGCACTTCCCGTCCAAATATCAAAAAACGCACTTACCGTCCAAATATCGCGCTGAAAATCTACGTGGCCTCTTGGCGATGGCAACACATTCTATCAAATTTTCAACAAACAATTTTATATCCTTTTGCTTTCAAGGGGCAGATGAAGGAAATATTATGTAACTAGTTTCACGAAATAAAAGTCCCGATAACTGCGTCAAATGAGATTCTTTTTAAAGAAAATATCGCAAGTGCCTTTGGTCCGTCATACTTTCTTTCATTTTTCTGAAACTGTTGGCCACAAAAAATCTGTGGTGTAAAAGCGTGTTTGGGCGTAAGGATATAAATATAGAGTAAAAATTTTTTTTTTAAATGCTTATAAAGGATTTATACGTAAAACTTTTTCATATAAATCCTTTATTGTTAAGTGTTTATTTTAATTAAGTCCTTTATTGTTATGTGTTTATTTTAATTAAATCCTTTATATTAACTTCACTTTTGTTCGTGTATTTCTGTGCTTAACGGAAAATCTTCAGACGGCTAATTGGCAATTTTCCAGTCATCCTATCGAACTGAAACTTGGCCCATCGAATCTGTTTCCGATGACGACACATTCTGTAAACGTTTAGCCTCACCAACCCCAACCTTGACCCCCAAAATCAGTTTCTCCTGGTTTCCCAAGGGGAAAACGAATAATGAAACATCATTTGTTCAATGGGAGCGTGTTTTGGTGTGGAGATTTATTTTCAGTTGTTGCTATATGCTTTGTAAATATGACGTAATTGAGTATGCAGTAAAAATAAAATTTAATTTTGAAGAGGAAAATGAAGGAAATATTTATTTTTTTCGAGTAGTTTACCCATTTGCATAACAGCTTCTTAACAAATGATGAATATCTTGCAATTACATGAATGCAACACACACAAAAAAAAAACGTACCGCATTGGTACGAAAAACTTTGAATTGAGGGGTTGTTAAATTTGTCTCTAATTTATTTGTAGGTTACAATTATTTAATATCTTGCTGTTAACTCAGCTATATTGGTTAACTTCGTGTTCTTGGCTCAGTCATTTCGGTTTTACTTTCTGTAGTTGAACCAGTTATTATTTTATTGTAATGTGTGTGCTTGAACAACCTATTTTCTTAGCACTTTGTTTGGTTGTTTGGCAATATCTAGTACCAAAATTAATGGAAGCACCCTGAAGCAAACTGAAGAGTGAAAACAGAATGAGAACATTTCTGTTTCAAAACATATATCTCATCAAAATATGAAATATTTGCCTTCAATTAGTAAAAATCTGTTTTATAAGTATGGGGGGGGGGAGGTAATAGATATTTAACGAAATTTATGAATAGTTACCTCATTGCTATGGTGATACAGAAGAGCAGGTCAAATACGGTGAGCGACATGAGAAACATATTGGTGGTATCGTTCTTAACGTCGTGGCGTGCCAGCACCACCAGGGTGATGACGTTTCCGAAAGTTCCAAAAATAGCCAGGACGTTGATAGCGAAACAATTGATGACCACGTCGAGGAGCGCGTAGGTGGCACCGTCGACGTCCATGAACTCGGGTGGCTGGTGAACGACTGTGGAATTCACCGTCAGAGCGTCACTGGACTCACCCCAAAAATCCACAGTTCTTGACGGTAATTTTGTCACAAGAAAGTTAACACTGGCGTTGTTATCAGACGCGGCCATGGTGTGAAGCTTGTGTTGTACTTAATGTAAATGTAGAGGTAACACTACATCTGTGTTCAGCACCACTAAACCCTTAGACCCCCGCTTGTAAAATCCAATACAGTCTTTGATGTCAGAGTGTGCGCTTCTGCCCTCTACATGTGTAACATACATTTATGGTTGAGCTCTAGACTTTGACGTTGCACAATTTCCAAGAAAAATATCATTCCACGAAACCCATCCGAACCCTTCAGGGATAACATGGAATTTGATCTTTTTTTTTTTTTTAATGACTTAGAAAGTTTGGACAACAAATCTACGCATTTGGATACAGCTAAAATCTCGCCTTGACTCACCGGCCCAGTGAACCAATGAGAGCTTCTTGTTGTGACACTTGAAACGTCAATCTTTGTCAGTCACGTCATTGGTAATAGAGGAAGGGGGTGGGGGTAGAAATTAATCCATGACCCGCGAATGGTTGAAATAATTATGAACGGGTGAAAATAAAAATAAACAAACTACAGGTTCTAATTAACGGATCACGTGGTAGGAAACAGGCAACAATCTTTGAGGTCTGATTTTATTGGTAAACATTTGGGGAAAAAAAGTGAAAAAAAAGAAGAGGGGGGGGTGTTCAAGAGAGTCGTGAAACAAACAAAGAGAAATGTTCATGAAATATTTACGGAAGATTGAACCCAACCGTTTTAATTGATAGCTGCTGACGTCAGTGTTGGTCTAACCTTAGTAAGGTACTCATTAAAAAAAAGAACTGTGCAAACTAACAAGGTGGTGGTCGTGTGGAAGGCAGACACGGTTTGGTGATTATCGTGACATGCAACCCACCCACCCCCCTCCCCCTTTTTTTTTTTCTCTGAAATTAGTCAACTGATTAGAATAACCGCTGAGGCGCGAGTCCAAAACATAGGGTGCAACCTGGCAGCTGACACTCCACCACTTGTAAGCCAATCTTGGAAGGATGAGCGGCGCATTTGTTTACTTGCGCGTGCTGCTGAGCGTGCGACTATTGGTCACGATTCGAAGAAATTTTGTAGGAGCGTATCTGTGGGGGGCACGGTTCTGATTCACACGCATGACTTCTTTGGCTGTGTTCCACGCGCATGAGTTCTTCGGCTTTGTTTGACACGCATGCGTTATCTGTCTTGGTCTTTTAACTCAGCGTGCCCAAACTTTTTGTTTCACAGACCGATGGAGTAGTTTCGAAAACTCACCAGGGACCAGTGGACTAGTTTCGAAAACTCACCAGGGACCGGTGGACTAGTTTCGAAAACTCACCAGGGACCGGTGGACTAGTTTCGAAAACTCACCAGGGACCGGTGGACTAGTTTCGAAAACTCACCAGGGACCGGTGGACTAGTTTCGAAAACTCACCAGGGACCGATGGACTAGTTTCGAAAACTCACCAGGGACCGATGGACTAGTTTCGAAAACTCACCAGGGACCGGTGGACTAGTTTCGAAACCGCACCATGGACCGGTGGACTAGTTTCGAAAACTCACGAGGGACCGGTGGACTAGTTTCGAAAACTCACCAGGGACCGGTGGACTAGTTTCGAAACTGCACCAGGGACCGGTGGACTAGTTTCGAAACTGCACCAGGGACCGGTGCCAGATTTATTAATTACATTTTCTTTCTATTTAAACATTAAGATTCATGCTCTCTGGACCTGTAACGTAAGGCACGCGAACCGATGCCGGTCCACGGACCACCGTTTGGGGGGCACTGCTTTAACTGACCATTTTGCTCTTATAAATCCTAGTTTTTCTTAAATCTACCGTAGTAGCACAGTGCTTAGTTTAGATTTTATTATATTTATTTATGAAATTCGTCTATTACCTAGTGAAAAACTGTTGTTTATAGGGACAACTATGTTAGGTGTTACTAAAACAAAGTGTCTTTTCCAATTATTTTTTTGCCTAATGCAACTCAGTTGAACTTGAGAGGTTTATTTTGTTATTTGAACATGAAAGTCTGTTTAACTTCCTAATCCTAAATGTCAAGATAGATTCATATTTGGAAGTAACCAAAATCATTTTCCTAGTGATAATTATCAGCATATTTCCAATAGTGGCCCGCACCCCCATACCAAAACACAAGACATATAAACAGCCAGCTATTTATAGGAAAGCCTCCCTTGTAATCGGACATGCGTGGAAGATCCCGAAAAACTTGCGTTAATCTGGACAGCTGGACAAACACGTGTTGATCTGGACAGCCGGTCAAACACGTGTTGATCTGGACAGCCGGTCAAACACGTGTTGATCTGGACAGCTGGACAAACCCGTGTTGATCTGGACAGCCGGTCAAACACGTGTTGATCTGGACAGCTGGACAAACCCGTGTTGATCTGGACAGCCGGTCAAACACGTGCTGATCTGGACAGCAGGTCAAACACGTGTTGATCTGGACAGCTGGACAAACCCGTGTTGATCTGGACAGCTGGACAAACCCGTGTTGATCTGGACAGCTGGACAAACCCGTGTTGATCTGGACAGCTGGACAAACCCGTGTTGATCTGGACAGCCGGTCAAACACGTGTTGATCTGGACAGCCGGTCAAACACGTGTTGATCTGGACAGCCGGTCAAACACGTGTTGATCTGGACAGCCGGCCAAACCCGTGTTGATCTAAACATCTGGTCAAGAGATATCACTGGCTGGGACACTCTGTTATTGACGCAATTGATTTCCCCTTACATTGTCTTCCCCCATGTAGTTAACATAATTCTTCTCATTTATTTTCAGGTTTCGCATCCGAACCAGGTCCTATTGCTAATCATTTACTGTCAGGGTGTCTGACGTCGTCTTGTTTGTAGTAATGACCCTTTTAAACATCAATCATCGCAATTCTTATCGAATCCATGCTTGGGAGACAGACGCTCTCTTTTGGAACGCTGCATTCTACGGCACGAGACATTTATCTCGGGAAGAACAATCGATCTTCCTGCTATAATTAACAGACCTGGGGAGAATATTGTAGAAGTGGGGAGGCATTTGTTGACAATTTATCATTGAGCCGACTCACTACTGTCATAAAATATTAGTCATTATGCCAGGCAAAAATAGTATGTTTCTATTTTTTTTTAAATTCACTTCAACCGGCTTACTATATGTGCAAGTCTAGTTTCTCCACTGAAAACTTAAAATGGGTACGAGTTAAATACGTTTATATTGGCTAGTGAGGGAAAAGTATTAAATATGATTTACTTAATGTTTACTAGCATATTGACTTCAAATGGAAGGTGTTTGTATATATGTATGTACATACCCAGGGCAAGGGTTACTGTAAGGCGAACAATTGGCAGCCGACTTGAGAGGAAGACCTCAGAGGCGCACACTATATATTTCAGAAGATTAAAATTCTCCCCTCAAAATTGCACAGTACTGATCAACAACATTGATAGTTTTATACAAAGAAGCCATCTTAAGAAACACTTAACAGCCTATATACCGCATAGAATCTCCCCGTCTACAGATTTATTTTACACTTTATACCTTCACATCGTATGGCTATCGTTTCCTTACTTTCATATCACACGACTATAGTCTCCATACCTTCCCATCGCTAGGCTAAAGTCGCCATACCTTCTAATCGCTAGGCTATAGCTTCCATAACTTCCCATCGCTAGGCTACAGTCTCCATTCCTTCCCATCGTTAGGCTACAGTCTCCATACCTTCACATCGTATGACTACACAGTTTTTATACCTTCACATCGCACGGCTACAGTGTCTGCATAACTTCGCATCGCACAGCTGCAGAGTCCCCATACCTTGATTCGCACGGCTGCAGAGTTTACAAACATTCTTATCGAACGGCTGCAGATGCCAAAACCTTCACAGCACACGGCTGCAGATGTCTAAACGTTCAAATCTCACGGCTACATAGTCAAGAATAGTATCAGATGTCCTTGAAATAGAAATTACTCTGAGAAGGTAATATATAAATGTTATTGTTTTGTTTTTTTTCAAAATTATTTATTTGTGTGAAAACGAAATATATCTTAATCAATTATTTACCTAGACACATCTTGTTCCACTATTTATCTAAACACATTTTATTCAAATATTTATCTAAACACATCTTGTTCCACTATTTATATAAACATATCTTGTTTCAATATTTACCTAAATACATCTTGTTCCAATACTTATTTAAACACATCTTGTTCCATTATTTATATAAACACATATTATCCAACTATTTATGTAAACACATCTTGTTCCACTATTTAGCTATACACATCTTGTTCAACTACTTGTCTAAACACATCTTGTTCCACTATTTAACTAAACACATCTTGTTCCACTACTTATCTAAACACATCTTGTTCCACTATTTACCAAAACATATCTTGTTCTAATATTTATCAAAGCAAATCTTGCTCCACTATTAACATAAAAATATCTTGTTCCCCTACTTATCTAAACACATCTAGTTCAACTGTTTACCTAAAAACATCTTGATCCTTTATTTATCTAAACACATCTTCTTCCATAATTTATCTCATATATTTTGTTCCACTGTTTATCTTAACACATCTTGTTCTACTATTTACCTAAACATATGTTGTTCCACTATTAATCTAAACACATCTTGTTACACTACTTAACTAAACACATCTTATTCAACTCTTATCTAAACACATCTTGTTCCACTATTTACATAAATACATCTTGTTTCACTACACTTCTAAACAAATCTTGTTGGATCATTTATCAAAATACATCTTGTTTAATTATTTACCTAAATACATCTTGTTCCACTATTTACCTCAAAATATTTTGGATAAACTATTTAACTAAAAACATCTTGTTTCACTATTTGACTAAACACATTTTATTTCTACTATATATTTAAACACATCTTCTTCCATTATGTATCTAAACACATCTTGTTCCACTATTAAAAACACGTCTTGTTCCATTACATATCTAAACGCATCTTTTTCCACTATATACCCAAAAATATCTTGTTGTACTATTTATCAAAAAAATTTCGTTTTACCTTATTTCCCTAAACACATCTTGTTCCACTATTTATCTAAACACATTTTCTTCCATTATTTAACTATAATCCCTTTTTCCAATATTTATATAAACATATATTGTTCAACTATTTATCTAAACATATCTTGTTCCAATATTTAACTAAACACATTCTGTTAAACTATTTATCTAAACACATCTTGTTCCACTATTTAACTAAACCATTTTGTTCAACTATTTATCTAAACTCATCTTCTTCCACTATTAATATAAACACATCTTGTTAAATATTTTTCTAAACCTTCTTGTTCCACTACTTGCTAAATACATTTTGCTCCACATATTTTTCCACTACTTACCTAAACATATCTTGGTCCCCTATTTACCAAAACAAATCTTGTTCTAATATTCACCTACACATATCTTGTTCCACTACTTACCTAAACACATCTGGTTCCACTATTTATTTAAAAACACCATGCTTCATAATTTACCTAAACACATCTGGTTTTACTATTTACCTATACACATCTTGTTCCACATCTTGTTCCAATATTTATCTAAACATTTCTTGTTTCACTATTAAAACAATCGTATCTTGTTCCACTATTTACCAAAACATATTTTTTCCACCATTTGTTTCAAAACACATCTTTTTCCACTATTTATCTAAACAAATCTTGTTCTAGAATTTAACTATACCCATCTTTCTTCACTACTTAACCTAATCACATCGTGTTCCACTTTTTACCTAAACACATCTTGTTCGACTATTTACCTAAATACATCTTGTTCCACTATTATTTAAACACATTCTTCCACTATTAACATAAACACATGCTGTTCCACGATTTAGCTAAACACATGTTCTTCCATTTTTTACTTAGACTTATCTTGTTTCACTATTTATCTAAACATATCTTGTTCAACTATGTAACTAAACACATCTTATTGCACTATTTAACTAAACACTACTTGTTCCACTATTTCTTAAATTTATCTCGTTTCACTATGTAATTAAAAACATCTTGTTCCATTTTTTACATAAACACATCTTGACCAATTATTTACATAAACACATCTTGCTCCTCTATTTATCTAAACACATCTTGTTCCACTATTTATCTAAACATATCTTGTTTGAAATTTTTAATCTAAACACATCTCATTCCAATATTTACCCCAACACATTTTGATCCAATAATTACCTAAAAACATCTTGTTCCACTATTTATCTAAACACATCTTGCTCTATTATTTATCTAAAAACATATTGTTCCCTTATTTAGCTCAGCATACCTTGTTCCACTATTTATCTAAACACATCTTGTTCCACTATTTACTTCTAAACATTTGGATCCACTATTTAACTAAACACATCTTGTTTCACTATTTAACTAAACATATTTTATTTCTACTATATATTTAAACAAATCTTCTTCCATTATTTATCTAAACAAATCTTGTTCCACTATTAAATAAACACATCTTTTTCCACAATTTACCCAAAAATATCTTGTTCTACTATTTATCAAAAAAATATTCTTACCTTATTTACCTAAACACAACTTGTTCCATTATTTATCTAAACACATTTTCTTCCACTATTTAACTAAAAACCTTTTTTCCACTATTTATCTAAACACATATTGTTTCACTATTTAGCTAAACATATCTTGTTCCACTATTTAACTAAACACATCTTGTTCCACTATTAATCTAAACACATTAGTTAAACTATTTTTCTAAACCTTCTTGTTCCACTACTTACTAAACACTTTTTGTTCCACATATTTTTCCCCTACTTACCTAATCATATCTTGTGTTCCTCAATTTACATAAACAAATCTTGTTCTAATATTCACCTAAACATATCTTGTTCCATTGCTAACTTAAACATATCTGGTTCCACTAATATTTAAAAACATCATGCTCCATAATTTACCTAAACGCATCCTGTTTTACTATTTACCTATACTATACACATCTTGTTCCACATCTTTTTCCAATATTTATCTAAACATGTCTTGTTTCACCATTTACAAAATCGTATCTTGTTCCACTATTTACCAAAACATATTTTTTCCACCATTTGTTTCAAAACACATCTATTTCCACTATTTATCTAAACACATCTTGTTCTAGAATTTAACTATACACATCTTTCTTCACTACTTACCTAATTGTTCCTAATTTTTTGTTCCACTTTTTACCTAAACAATCTTGTTCGACTATTTACCTAAACAGATCTTGTTTCACTATTTGTTTATACACATTTTCTTTTACTACTAACATAAACACATGCTGTTCCACTATTTATCTAAACACATATTTTTTCCACTACTTACCTAAACACATATTCTTCCATTTTTTACTTAAACTTATCTTGTTTCACTATTTATCTAAACCATACTTGTTCCACTATTTCTTAAACTTATCTCGTTTCACTATTTACCTAAACACATCTTGTTCCATTATTTACCTAAACACATCTTGACCAACTATTTACCTAAACACATCTTGTTCCTCTATTTATCTAAACACATCTTGTTCCACTATTTACCAAAACACATCTTGTTTGAATTTTTAATCTAAACACATCTCATTCCAATATTTACCTCAACACATCTTGCTCTATTATGTATCTAAAAAAATCCTGTTCCCTTATTCAACTCAACATACCATGTTCCACTATTTATCTAAACACATCTTGTTCCTCTATTTATTTTCTTGACATGCATATAACGCAGTTTCCCTGTATTTTATTTATTTCTGTTCTTTAGGTTGATTTTTGATATTGGCAGTTATTTTTTTTTTATTATATATATATATATATATATTTTATTTCATTTCATTTTTTTTTCAGGTTGCTGGTAGAAAGTAGCTGACCTTGCCTAGGGTGCCAAATTTTCTAAAACCTGTTTTGAGTCCAAGGACAGCTCAGCTTCACTGTGACAATGGTCATAAAGATAAACAGATGTTATTGAGTTGTTTTTCTAACACCTCAAGCAAGGCTGCAGGATCCTAGTTAGAAATTCAAAGTCAAAAATTTTTTAAAGCCTCTTTTTTTTTAATTTTACATTCTTCTTTTGTTTTTTTGTATAGATTATAGAAACATCACATTGTATGGTGTCTGGTGCAATTCAGTAAGCTAAAATTAAATTCTTTATGCATATATTGGGAGTGTTTTCTCTAATTCCGGAACAGTTGCGTGGATCCTGCAACATCTTGCTTGGATATTTAAGGGGCTTAAAGTTGTGACTAGTTAAAGGAGTGGTTGAACCTTATGAAACGAGGTAAATCTAAAAAAAATTACGCTTGATTCTTCTCCTCCGATCAACGGAAACCCTATCGTACGTGGCGATCTGGCACATCCACCTGGTGACCTGGCACATCCCCCTGGTGACCTGGCACATGCACCGGGCGAGCTGGCATATCCACATGGCGTCCTGGCACTTCCACAAGGCGAACTGGCACATACACCTGGTGACCTGGCACATCCACCTTGCGACCTGGCACATCCA